GCGGCCGCTTGTCGCACACAGGGCTGCCGTGGAGTCACGATGCACGAGTCGCTCACCTGCAAAGATAACGCACATGCGTCAGCCTCGGCCGCCGAGGACGCGCACCAGCGAGCACGAATCTCCCCTGGCTGTCATTTGATTCTGACTGCGGCTTCGTATCGTTTTCGCTTTCACGAAGGAATTTGTGGGACTTTTTTTGCTAATCATATTTCATGCTGGGTTGCGTGGTTCCGACATTAATTTGCCGGTCTCTTCGTGATCGAACGAAGCTATGTATTTGGATATAATTTGCATAAAATAAAATTCCCAACGCAATGTTGTTAAATATATTACTTAACTATGTTTTATAGTCTAAATGAAAAAAAAATAATATAGCATTGTTCATCTTTTCTACATTCAATGTTTTACGAAACCCAGGCAGTGTTAAATGCAAAAAGAAATTGAACAATGAAACGCCAGACTTCAGGATGAAGATAATCAATAAAATATTTGAATTACATTTATACAAGTAGCGTTGTTAACAATTAAAAATCATCAGTATTTTTAATTTTGCTTCTCTTGAAAAAAGTACAAATCATTCCAAAGATATTTTGCAAAAAAGAGGTGAGCCTGGATATACGATGAATAGCGGTATTTTGGGAATTCAATTATGATATTTATCCTGAAAAAACACTATTTTGATTGTATTAGGAAAATCCAAATAAACAATGAATGGAAATTCAAAATTCTCTGGTGTAGGATCTCTACCGAACCTTTGCTTCTGAATTAGAAACAGTAAAGGGCAGATGTTCTGGGAACATGACTCCTAGCTTGTGCAAGGTGTGCTTGATATCTTGTATGTAAGGAATTGTCATATACCAAAAACCATATGTAACGAAAAGGAAAGATGCCGTTCGGAGAACAACTCGTACATTGGGGTTTTATGTGGCTCGAATATGCACTCACGCTAAAGTTAGAGATGAAAGACATCTCCATTAACAGAAGATATCTGTTATTTAATCCATGTGTTCTGTACTTCATTTTTAGAACAATACTTTTCGTTTTTGTCCATCTGCGACACCGACGCAGTGCAGGCACGTGTGACAGCTGCGAATGTGGAATCAAAGCAGGGGCGGATCAAGACGATCATGGGGGGTGTTAACTAATAAACATATTTGTTACTATATTGTTATTTACTTTTTGTGTTACTTTAT